CTGGTAGATTCCGGTGGAATTTCCAGACGTTGTCGATTCCGTTGGAGATTTTTGATGCTGTCAACGAATGTTCCAGTGGATGCTGCTGACGAAAAATCCGTTAGATTTCGGTGGAATTGTCGACGAAGCAGGTTCCAGTCGATTCTGGTAGAGATTTTGCATGCTGCCAACGAAATTTCCGGTGGATTTTTTCGAAAACCTGATGGAGCAGGTTCCAGTCGATTCCGGTTAAGATTTCAGATGCTGCAGAAAGATCCGATTGATTTCAGCGGAAGTGGATGCGAAAGATCCAATTGATTTCAGCGGAGTGTTCTGACGTTGACGAAGGAGGTTTCATTTAATTTTGGTGGTGATTTGGTGGTGCTTCCAACGAAAGTTCCAGTGGATTTTTCTAACGTTCTCAACGTAGGTGCTTCCGTTCGATTCCGGTGGAGATTTCGGATGCTTCTGACGAAAAATCCGATAGATTTCGGTGGAATTTTCAGACGGTGGAGCAAGTTAGATTCCGGTGGAGATTTTGGATGCTGCCAACGAATGATCCGATATATTTCAGCGGAGTTTTCTGACGTAGGCGATTCCATTTTGGTAGAGATTTTCGATGCTGCCTACGAAAGTTCCAGTGGATTTTCCTAACGTTCTCAACGTAAGAGCTTCTAGTCGATTCCGAGCGAGGTTTTGGATGCTGCAGACGAAAGATCCGGTAGACTCCAGCAGAATTTTCAGACGTTGTGGACCAAGCAAGTTCCAGTCGATTCCAGTGGAGATGCGACAGGAACTACCCGTAGATTCAGGTGAATGCTGCCAATGGTGGATTATCTGATTTCACGAAGGAGATTCTCGATGCTGCCAACGAAAGTTGCGGTGAATTTTTATGAATTCTTGATGGAGCGGGTTCAATTGGATTCTGGTGGATATTTCCTATGTTTACAATAAAAGTTTCGGTGGAATTGTCTGAATTCACGACGGAGCCGCTTCCGTTCTAGGTTTTCGATGCTGCCTACGAATGTTCCGGTGGACTTTTCTGAATTCTTCTTGATACTGCCGACTAATGTTACAGATGTTTTTTTTTTATTATTTTCGACGGAACAGGTTCCGATGAATTTAGCTGAATTATTGATGGAGCGGGTTCAACTCGATTCTGGAGCAGATTTCCCTAATTCAAGACGGAGACGGTTGCAGTCGATTTCGTTGGAAATTTTCGATGCTGCCAACGCAAGTTCTGGAAGATCCAGTGGATTTTTTGAAGTTGTCGAAAGAAGAGGTTACAGCACATTCTGGTGGAGATATTTGATGCTGTAAGCATAAATTCCAGTAGATTTAAGCCGAGTTTTCTAAAACACTGTCGTAGAAGGAAGTTCCTGTCGTTTTCGATGGAAATTTTTGGCGCCGCCGACGAAAATTCCATTGGATTTTTTTCTCAATTTTTGACGGAACAGATTCCAGTAGATTCTGGTGGAGATTTACGATGTTGCCAATTAAAGTTCCGGTGGATTTTTCAGAATTATTCACGCAGCAGGTTAAACTCGATTCAGATGGCGATTTTCGATGCTGCCAATGAAAGTGTAAGCGAATTTTTTGACGTTGTCGACTTCTGTGCAGATTTTTGATGATGCCAACGGTGAATTTTCAGAATCCTCGACGGAGCAGGTTCTAGACCATTCTTGTGGATATTTCGTATTCTGCCAACTAACGTTCCGGTGCATTTTTATGAATTCACTACAGAGCCACTGGCATTCGATTCCGGTGGAAATTTTCGGTGCCGCCAACGGAAGCTTTTGTGGATTTTTCTGACATAAACGGAGGAGGTTCCAGTCGATTCCAGATTTTTGATGCTGTCAACGGTGTATTTTGAGAATGCTGCCAATGAAAGTTCCGGTGGATTTTTATGAATTCACTACGGAGCCGGTTGCATTCCATTCCGGTGGAAATTTTCGGTGCCGCCAATGAAAATTCTGGTGGATTTTTCTGACGTCTACGGAGGAGGTTCTAGTCTATTTCAATGGATTTTCTATCATGCCAACAAAAGTGAAAGTTAATTTTTCTGACGTTATCGATGGAGGAGGTTCTAGTCGATTCCAGTGGAGATGCTGCCTACGTTGGATTTCAGGATTCTCGAAGGAGCAGGTTCTGGGTAGTTTGGGTGGGCATTTTGGATGCTGTCAAGGAAAGCCAGTTGCATTCGATTCCGGTGGACATTTTGGATGCTGTCAATGAAAGTTCTGGTGGATTTTACTGACGTTGTGGACGGAAGAGGTTCAAGTCGATTTCGGTGATAATTTTCGATGCTTCCAACGGTGGATTTTCAGAATCTTCGACGGAGCAGGTTCTAGGCAATTCTAGTCGATATTTCGTATGCTGCCAACAGAAGTGTGGGATTCATCGGTGGACACCCAACAGGTAGTGAAGTGGACAGGCCAAAACCGATAACGAACGGAATTAAACCCGGGGAACCAGCGATAACGACGAAATAAAAGAACACTCGTACCGACTACTAGAAACGTGTTTAATTACCGGACTGTTTACATAGAATGAAAAAGAAATTCACTTTCACTTTGTTATTGCAGTCTTCTCTCTTATGGTGCATGAAACTGATTGCAGCGTAGTGACGCCGGGTAAAAATATTGCTCCTACTTGTACACGCTCAACAAGAAGTTCTGGTGGATTTTTTCTGACATTGACGCAGGAGCTTCTAGTCGATTTCAGTGAAGATTGTCGATGCTGCCAACGAATGTTGCGGTGGATTTTAATAGCGTTGTCGATGTAGGAGGTGGGTTTCGCTCAATTCTGGTGAAGATTTTCGATGCTGCCAAATAAAATTCCAGTGGATTTTTCTGACGTTTTTGACGGAGGAATTTCCAAACGAATTCGGTGGAGTGCTCCACCAATATTATATGAAAAAAATAACCGGAAATTTAGTTGGAAGCATAAAACATCTTCACAGAAAACGACAGGAACTTCCTCCTTCGGAAATGTTAGAAAATTCCGCTTAAAGCCACTAGAACTTTTGTTTGCAGCGTCGAATCAACTGGAACCTGCTCCGTCGGCAACGTCAGAAAAAATACACTGGAACTTTCGTTGGCAGCATCGAAAATCTCCACCGGAATTGACTGCAACCTGAGCTAGAACCTGCTCTTATTAAGAATGATAAAAAAATCCAATGGATCTTTCGTTGGCAGTACCGGTAATCTTCACCGAAATCATCGGGAACCTGGTCCATCGGAAACGTCGGAAAATGTATGGAACTCGGTGTGGAACGTTTGATGTCTTCGCTTTTTATCAGTGTGATGTTTTGTCTTTTTGCGACATGTCAAAATAAACACTGAAGTAAAAAGTCGCTCATCGTGCTCTCTGACAGATGACATAATAGGCATCGCTTATCTATTTAATCCTGCATTTTTTTCCTTTACTATAGTTTTTCAGCCTTTGGGGTTCGTCTCTTTTAAATTTAAAGGCGTTATAAAAGAGAAACCCCAAATTACAGATCTGTATGCGGGATCCCAGATGGGGATCATCGGAAAAAACGGAGTGGATGAGATGGCGATTCCAGTGGGAGATTTCTCATAAGGGAACCTTTCCAGCTTTCAGGGCAGCAATTATTCCATATTTTACGCTGCAATCCAAAACAACATGTACCAAACTCTGTATTAGGGATTGTCCATTAATTATGTCACACTTTTAAAGGGAGTGGGGTTTAGGAAACCGTCACGAGCCACACAAAAAAAAATTAGGGCCATACAAAAAATGTGGTAGAGGGTGTGGGGGCTGGTTGAAAATGGGCCAAATTTGTGTGACATAATGAATGGACCCTTATGGCTCGTCACGGTTTCCTAAGCCCCACTCCCCCCTAAAAGTGTGACATAAATAATGGACGATCCGTAATACAGAGTTTGGTACATGTTGTTTTGGATTGCAGCGTAAAATATGGCATAATTGCTGTCCTGAAAGCTGGAAAGGTTCCTCAACAAATTAATTAACCCCTTTTCCATTATCGTAATTCAGTTTCTGTTGTCCTACATATGTGTTTTAATCCTAATCTAAATTCCAACCGTGTTCTTGGCTGCTGGAAAAGTTTAAGTAATGTGGTTGAGGTGGTTCAAATGTTGTGATACAAGCCGGCGTCTTTAATGAAACATAGGAGAGCGGCTTCCATGGAGGGATTATCCCGGATACTACTTGGCATTCCATATAGGTTCCGGATGCCCTGAAAGCAGGAACAGTTGATCACTATGTTGTCGTCCGTCATTTTGACTCCACAAGTGTCACATTTCTTCCGGAATATGGGTGCTCTTGCCGTGTAATATGTGACTTTTGTGTGACCGGAACGCAAACGGGACAGGACACGTTGGTCCCGCCAGCTTGAAATATCTGTCCATCTTGTTGTTTCCCTTTTAAGCTTGCAAATAAATGGCTCTGTTCTGGAAGCCCACTCGCTAACCTAAGCTTCGCGAAGTATCGATTTAGTCCATTTTTTGGCGTCCATACCGGAGACGCTCGTTGAAATCATGCAAGCTCTACGGCCGGTGGCAGCGAAGTGATTCGCTTCGATGTTTCCCCTGATCCAGGGAATCCAGAGATCCAGAGGAAGATGGTATTGTGTGGGTTGACTTTCAATCCCCTGGATCCACGGATGACGTGTTACCGGTGATTTCAATGCTGCGATAACACTGGCGGAGTCAATTAATATACATAGCGTTAGCATGAATAATTTCACTGTAAATGCGTTTGCCTAAATTAATAAATCAAAAAAAAAAGAATATGAATCTAGTGAAACATAAAACCGACTCATGGGATTTGGACAACGTTATAAAAAATAAAAACACATGCACTGCAACCACAAAGCCGACCTCCCGTCGACTGCCATAAAACCCACATAAAGCTAAAACACACAAGCCGTCGTAAAACGCACATCGCAAAACACCCATGCCTACTACAACCGAGCTTCGGGAAAACAGAACGAAAGCTTCAGATCACAGAACAAACGAAAAATGTGACACACATACTTTCCAGCTTCTTCCACGACCGTGGCCAACATAAATTCTGTTGATTTATCGTTCACAATCACATGACAGTCATCAATGTCAGGGGACCTGTGAAGGATCACACAAAAATCGGAGGCAAGGAGGAAAAGGAGAAATGAATTATCAGCATCAAAAGTGCGGAAAGCATTGTCGGTCCAAATGATATGATATGATGATGGTGGTATTGGTGGTGGTGGTGGTGGTGGTGCGGTGTGGAACCACGGAAACTGTCCGATGGGATTTGGTGACGATTCTGCGAGTGACATCAGTTGGGGCGTGTGTTTGTGTGATTTGCTAGTTTTGTTTGCTTATGGTGTTTGATATTTCCTTAGAGGATGGGTCATTCCTCGTTGAATAGCACAACATCTAAAGGAAATCTCACCCAACAAAGCAATGATTAATGTGCGACTTGGCGTGGAATGCCCGACACGTGGTTCGTGTACGATTCCACAGAGTTGGGTCAGTGTTAATTTGTGTACAGTTGATCCACCTGCGGTGACTTGGCTTTGTTTACTGGAAGATTACACTCATCGGAACTTGGGTATCATTGTTTCTTGGATAAACGAGTAAACGACAAAATACAGCAGATGAAAGCGTGGATCACGGGTGAGATCGAAACAAGGAGCTTGTGTTTGGTGTACCATTTGCCCATAAGTCATGCAGACATTTCTTTTGGATTATTGCAGTGAAATTCCATCATATGTAAGTGTGTACGAATTCGGTTCATTTTGGTGTATAACATGTATAGCATATTTTTTCTGTTTTATGGATGATGTATGAATCGGCTGTGGCATCAATTTGTCTTTCTAAGCTTACCCCGCATTGTCGTCGTCCTCTTCGTTTGAACCGGACGCCGTGTTGGTGGGCGCCTCGTCTGGCAGGACCTTACAGGAACCGGCACTCTTGGTGCTGCCGTCCAGCTGCGTCTCCGTGGCCACCTTCGTTTGAGCAATGTTCTCTATCAGACTACCGCCGGCGGTGATCTCCGATATGTGGGGCTTGCGGGCTGCACGTTGCTTTTTCGCTCGCTTTCGTAGGGCCTGTTGGAGGGGGGCGAAAGTGCAAAACATGAAAAGTCAATTAGTAAAATTGACTAGATTTCATTTTGGAACCGTCTTATGATAATTATTATACTTTGGATTTGTTATTCAGTACACTAAGTGAGCATACCTGGGCTACTTCGAATGATGGTATAGAATATCCGGTCACAAATTTGTTTTTCGGAAAAATTTAAATTATTTTGACTTGCCTCACATGTGTGCAAAAAAGCGGTCAGTGCCCGTAAAATAATGAATAGTGTAAAAAACAACATTTTATGTCCAAATCATGGTCTACAGAACCCTCAAAAAACCCAAATTGTTACTTGGGCTAGGTGCTCCAGTTACTACAGTAACTTACCAGCCTAAAATATTACGATATATATCTAAGTGTTTTTACATTGATCCTGCCTTGGAAATTCAGTACAGACAAACATACGTTACTCTTTGAAAAAGTTTTTCTTGAAAACATAGTATCTCAAAACATACACAGTTCGAAAAAGTAGTGTAAATTTCTGTCACTATGATGCACATAAATGGAGCGTCACATACCATACAAATTCACATTACAGATCGTGTAAACTTATGAGTCATTTCATGAAAAATTCTAAATATTGTATGCAACCATCCATCTTTGTAAGCAATATTTCTTGCAAGTTGCTAGTTTACGTAAAAAGGAAGTTTACATGCTTCAATTTTAGCATGCATGGATATTTACATCACCATTAAAATTCATATTTGTTTGGTGTGTAGGACCTCAGTAACGACATCTCTCGGGCTTCCCGCGGAAAACAAGCTTGCTCGCTAACTCGCTAACAATATTGCATAAAAGTTCTATAGAATGTATAGAAACTTAATAGTGATCCGATGCCAGCGCTGCGTTGAGTAGTCCGCGAAGCTTATAATATTCAAATAAATCGTTAAATGCGTGAACGAAGATACACATTGAAGTGTTACGTCTGTTTGTCTGTGATGCCAGCACTGTAAACTAAAACTAAATCTTATCTAAATATAAAGAGAATTAATTGTTGCAATTGAGGTACTAAAGTCTCAACGTTCGAAATTCTATGTACCTCGGTAGTATCACAGACAAACAAACATAACTCATAAAAGACAATTCATCAAAAAATATCGTCAATCGTATTTTGCATGCACACTAGCATCCTCTATCCACATTCCCAAGCATTGATGTGCAACCGGAGTATCCTTTTTTTCTCCAATTGCTTTTCCCTCGTCCTGTCAACACGTCAGCTGTGTTGAACAAAAACAAAACAGATGCAAGTCATTGATGTCGGTTCTACCAAATTTTACGTAGATCTATAATAATTTTTTTTTTTTTACTAGTTCGTTTATTTACTAGGCTCAGTCGTGTGTGACAAGTCGTGTGTGACACTTTGCGGAGCCAAAATCAGTAATGTTTGATTTTACATTTTAAATAGCAGTAGTTCTAGGTTAGTATTGGGTACCAATTACTCGTGGCGGGCTCGAGGTTAATGGGTAACAATTTCGATTGGAAGGAGCTAGGTAGGAAACTGGTTTCTGAAGCCTCCTTCAGATACTACTCTCGGACGGTTGACCAAATCCTGGCTGGGCAGGGGCAAGTAGCACAGGAACAGGAGGATAATAAGACTGGGACACAATGGCGGGAAATTGTTTGGAAAGGATGGGATGGTCACATCAAACTCTAACATCAGACAAACAAAGGAATTCGTAGATCGCCTGCATGTAGGGAAGATCACGTGTTCCCAATACATCTCTTACTTCACGGAAGGGTTGTCTACCTCGGGCCACTAAGGTATCAAATAGTCGTGCTCTGGAGGCGTCATTACCCGGGCAATACCAAATTGCGTGATCGATGTCATCATAACCGGTTCTGCACCTACATATATTGCTGTCAACGAGGTTTATTCTATAGACATAAGTCTTGACATCACCCGAATGAAGTCACGACTTAAGCCCAAGCCTTTAAACCACGCTCTCGAAGAAACATTAGGAATAATTGAATGTAACCACCGTCCAAGATTTCCAGTGTCCCAATCGGTTTGCCAACTCGAAAGGGTACTCTGACGCACTAAATGGTAAAATTCATCGTGTGAAATTTGCCTGTCATACAATTCGCCTTCATGCGCGCCCACCTTTGCGAGAGAGTCCGCCTTCTCATTGCCTGGGATTGAGCAATGTGAGGGGACCCATACAAAGGTAATCATATATGATCTTTCGACCAGCAAACTCATCTGCTCCCTTACCTTTGAAAGGAAATAAGATGAGTGCCTACCTTGTTTCATCGACCGAATAGCCTCAATCGAACTGAGACTATCCGAGAAGATGAAGTAATGGTCTATGGGCATATCGGAAATCATCCCCAATGCGAAGTTGATTGTATTTCGCAGAAATACGGATCCGTATGAGATATTCACAAAAAAGCAGTATTTTTTAGGGATTTATTTTGCTTGTTTAGTGTGATTTTTCTTTTGTTGGAAAAAGTTTTTAAACGTGGTAATGAATCACTAATTTGTGCCCTTTCTACCACCGCTCATCATTTTAATATGTACACAGCAAACAAATATAATTTGTATCAATCAATGCTGTGATGATGTATTGTAACTGATAATGCATTGTTCTGACTACAATGTTATAACATGTTACAAACGTATTGTTTGAGATTGAACCACCCACTTGGGGCATGAAGTAGTTCGCCTCCTCGTGGTGTGCCCTGGAAACGTTAATTATCGAACCCAAGGGAGAGATATTGTGGCTAAACGAACTGCAGCAGAGTAAGAACGCTGGAGCCCCATCCAGCTCGTCCCAGGAGGTTGATAAGCCCTGCACAAACCCTCGTTGTGCAAAGGCAGGAGTGACACCGAGTTCTTAGAGTGCTAAGCACACGCAGCTGGTAAGCGGTCACATCTGCCCTGGGCTGCCGTGGACAGTTGGCTGGCTATCACGTCTGCTCTAGAACTCAGGCGAACAATAAGGGGAAGGCCCTACATAGCTGCTCACTGTGCAGTAGCGAGTGTCACGTCCATGACACACCACCAGTGTGTACGGTCTGCTGGGACCGATAGTTCCCGAGAGAGTGCAACTGTTCGAATCACCGATTGTCGCCGACCGTAGGTAGACTTCTGCACAGCGCGCGAGGGAGATTTGGGCTAGGCGACCATAGGTCAAGCGATGACCAGATCGGGAGACGGGAGATCAGTTGATTTCGGTCACCGTATAGTGTTAGTTAATGCTTAACCACCCGATTTAACCCGGCGCCCCCGGCTACGAGCAGGATACTTCACCCAAAGACGTTTGGATTTTGAGCGTTAACGATAGAAAAGAGAAAGAAAGATAATGCAATTTAAAACGTGTATTGACTAATCTGACCTTCTCTTTCTCCTCGCTGATTCTCGGTGACACACGGTGGGGCCCTTCGATGACGGCGGCGGCGGTTGTTGTTCACGTCGGCTCACGTCGGCTCCAGACTAGCAATGGGCGATCTTGGATCGAAACACAAAAGATCGATTCTTTTGATACGATTAATCGATGTTTATAATCGATCCCAAACACGACAAAAATTTACTTTATCGATCCTTTTTATTCGATTTTTGTTTCGATCCATAAACAAAAATTTCAGTGCATTTGCATTTGCAATTTAATATTGATTTTTTTTTCTCTTCACCTTTGCAAATCACTTGCCTTGAACATGGATTCTGCCAAACAACCAGTGTGACAGTTCAGTAGGCAAGAACGAGAAAGTGAAAGTTCGGGGCTCCAGAGATGATTATAGACCTTTTTGACGTTTAATTGTCTTTCTCTATTTAGAACACATGAATGAACGGACGGTTTGTTTTCCCACTAATCTGTTTCCCTCTTGCTCACGCTCATTCGATTTAAATGGTGCAGTAGTGCACTGCAGTTTGACGAGAGGTTCAAATACGTTGAGCTGGTGGATACATTTGCTGTTGCAACGCTCCTCGACCCCCGTTTCAAGAGACTGTGCCTGGAGTCTTCAGCTCACGCT